TGTGTTTATCTCGCTGTTTGTCGTGTTATCTATAGTACATATATATATATATATATAATATATATATGTATATAGTATATATTGTTATTGTTGACATAGTTACCTTTCTTGACAGTGATGCATCGAGGGACTCGACCAGGTGGATGGTTCCGATAGCTGAAGCTTCTCCTTTAGTGTTGGTGCGTGACATTCATATGAGCCCTCTTCTTCTTTGGTCAGAGGAGAAATCTAAAGATACAAAATGTAAAATAGTTGTGTGTGTGTGTGTGTTGTGTGTTGTGTGTGTGTGTGTGTGTGTGTTGTGTGTGTGTGTATTTAAAGTAGTATTTGTTCAAATGATGAGACTGACCAGAACCCAGCCGGTCACTTCATGTTTTTCAGGTCCACCTCTCGTCTGAATCGCCAGGTTGTCTCTGTCTCCAGAAGGAGCTCCATCCTCCTCCTTCCATTGATGACCTGAAGGAAGACCCCACCATTACCCATCATCACCATCATCCACCACCACCATCACCATCATCACCATCATCACCATCATCACCATCATCACCACTGTCTTTACATCAGTTTTGGTGACGCAGGACATGCAGCCTCTGATTGGCCAGGTTGTCACAGATTATTATTAGTCCGGTGTGGTTCAGTTCAGCTTGGTTCAGTTCGGTACAGTAGAACCTGATTTACTTGTGTTTCCACAGCCAACCATACTCTTATTTAGTAAGTGGAGTGTGAGCCAGATGGAGATACCCGCATCAGCTATGAAATAAAGCGACATCATAGCAGCCCAACACAGGTAGCCCGGTGAAGAACAGGACTCAGTAAACAAAAGGGACCCTTTAGGTTCAGATCAGTTCCTCGCACCCCAACAGAAGGTACCAAAGAAGTAGGACGGTACGGATCCTATTTTGGTACCATTCCCAACTTTTTGCGTTGCAAACGCCAATAAAGGGTACCGTACCATACCAAACTGAACCGGACCGCTTGGTGGAAACGGGGATTTAAATTCACCGATTGTTTGGTTTTATGAATCTATCTGAAGAATTTCTGAAAAAAACTCAAAATGATTGCACTTCAAGTTTTCAGCAGTTACACTTCAAACTATTCTAAGATTCACTTCCAGCTGACTCCTTCCTTACCCCGACTGTTACTGACCACTCTGAGAACAACCACCTAACCCCTATTGTTTCTTCAAACAGCCCAACAGGAAACAGGAAGTAAGGCAAACAGGAGGTGAGTCAAACAGGAAAGGGCAGGACCCCGAGAAATGCAGCCCAGAAATCATTTATAATTGAACATTTCATTCACATGTACTTTCATCAACCTCTTCTTTATCGAAATAACCACATTGTGTTATATATTTTATTTCTGCATCTCCTCACTGACTCTGTCTTTTTGTGTAACATTATTGTTATTATTTTTATTATTGTTTTTTATAACAGCAACCTGCTGTGTTTTGTTGTTCTTGCACTGTTTGTCTCCATCCTGCTCTGTCCTTCCCTCCATCCCCTCTCCAACCTACAGTCTCAGCAGATGGCTGTTCAACATGAGTCTGGTTCTGCTCGAGTTTCTGCCTGTTAAAGGAAGTTGTTCCTCGCCGTTGTTACTTTTCTAAGGTCTGTGCTCACGGTGGATTAATGTTGAGTCTTTATATATCATTTACCAAAGAGAACAGTATAGAGCTGCTCTTTTTGTTGCCGATAACATTCAGTTTAAATTAGTGCTAAGATTAATTGATATGACTCACCTTCTTCCAGGTCACACAGGTGTGCAGGCACGCCCACCGCCTCGCAGCTCAGGTACACCTGAGAGCCGCTCACGTTGTAGACCTCACCTGGAGGAGTGACGATGACCGAGCTGCAGACAGACGGGTAAATAGAGAGAAGGTGTTCGTGACTGTCAGTAAAATCAAGAGATAATTAAGTTTGGATGAGGGGAAGTTTCCACATGAATGTGAAACAGGATGCAACAGTCGCAGGAATCTGCCGGAGACAGAAAATCCTCTGTGACCTCTGTGAATTCAGTTCGGTCTGAGCGCGCTCAGGGGTTTTTCCATGTAAAAAATTCAGTTTTTTAAAAGGGATGAAGGAGGATCATCATCACTCAGTGTGAGTTACTGTCAGCGAGTCAAAGAGCTTCATGTCGGATTAATCTGTTTAAACACGACCGTCTGTCAACACAGCAAATTTAACAACAGACAGAGTTATATATAAAACACTCATTTATTTATATTTTAATATATAAAACACTCATAAAGAGTTATACAGTATATAAATCACACATATATTTATAACTCAAACATATTTATAGAATAGTATATAAAAGCCTACACATATATTAATGATTAGTGATGAAAACATCTATGTGGTTAAAACTGTGACATATAACTTGTATAATATTAATAAAAATAGTAAAATAAATAATAGTAAAATAATAATTATTAAAGTTGGGCAGGGCTGGAGTACTGGCCTTAAGACTCAGATAGAAGAGCCCAGAAGAAAAAAACAATCAAAGTAGCTCAAAGAAACAAAACATGTGTCTCACTCTCACATGTGTCTCACTCTGACATGTGTCTCACTCTCACCTTTTGTCCAATGCGCCGTATATGAGACTAACTACAAAACAAACAAGAAACAAGCAAGATCTAGAAAGGGGAAAACAAAGTCACGAACAGCTTTACCAGGATACAGAGAGGTAAAGCACTGATTTATGTGCCTCCCTCTCACCTGTGTGTCTCTCTCTCACCTGTGTGTCTCTCTCTCTCATCTGTGTGTCTCTCTCTCTCACCTGTGTGTCTCTCTCTCACCTGTGTGCCTCTCTCTCACCTGTGTGTTTCACTCTCTCACCTGTGTGTCTCTCTCTCTCACCTGTGTGTCTCACTCTCTCACCTGTGTGCCTCCCTCTCATCTGTGTGTGTGTCTCTCTCTCATCTGTGTGTCTCTCTCTCTCATCTGTGTGCCTCTCTCTCTCATCTGTGTGTCTCTCTCTCTCATCTGTGTGTCTCTCTCTCTCATCTGTGTGCCTCTCCCTCTCACCTGTGTGTCTCACTCTTTCACCTGTGTGTCTCCCTCTCACCTGTGTGCACCGTGCATCTCCTTCTCACCTGCAGCGCAGCGTCCTTTGTTCTGCACAGTGATTGGTGGATTCCCCTCGGTCCCGGCTGTCAGGCTGGCGCGCTTCAGTGCGCAGCCGGTCTTGTATGTCACCCCGTCGGAGCCGCACACTTCGTAGTTGCTCTTACAGGTGCAGACTCCCAGTTTGTTCTTTTTGTCCTCGTTGCTTTTCAAACACTCCAGACCGGGTCCACAGCGGCGGGCTGCAGTGCGTCGCCCCCCGCACAGCTCCCCCTCGGCGGCTGCGCAGACGGAGCAGCAGCTGCAGGAATCCATCAGAGTGCCTGCGGGGCAGCCGTCCGCCGGGAGAGGAGCACACTGATCCGGATCACATGGTCCACATCCCGCAGCTGCCGAGACCCCCGAGAGGAGAGAGAGGAGCGGAAAAACACAGATTAAAGTCTTCATCATGACTACGGTCTGCTGGTCTGAGCCCTGAACTCAGACTGTGAGCCTTTTTAAAGAGACTGACTGACTCCGCCCCCCTATGTGGACTGTCTCCGACCCTCCGACCCCTCTACTGAGCCCAGAGCTGCTCTCACTATATATATAAATGGTTATTAAAAAATAACTTTTGAAAACATTTTTCTGTTACAGTTTGAGAAAGAAGCTTTACTGGCGGATTACTTATACTGAAATAACACCAATAATATATATTAAAGCATTTTATTATCCCTAATAAGATATTTCATTTAATTAGATTTGTAGCCTATTTAATGTCTGATGGTTTCATATCAATTTATTAAAATATTTAATATTTTTGATCACTTTGATCACTGATTTTTAAAATGTATTTTTTGGTCTTTTTATACCTTTATTCTAGAGATAGGACAGAGGATTCGAACCAGGGCCGCCACAATAACCACTAGGCTACTGGTGCAATAAAAAGGTGATTTTCTGTTTGAACTGTAGGGATTTAAATTGTTCTTGTTTCTTTACACACAGTGAGCGTCCAGACACTCAACATGACATCACCAGTTAAAAACTGTTAAACTTCATCTACTTTTTAAAATATAGTTACAATTGTGTACGTAGGTTTTAAGTTTAAATGTCATAAGAGAAAATGTCAAAACATCAATAACAAAACATTGTTAAATTATCTGTAAATAGTTTCAGATCGTTGGTTGAAAAAGAAAACAGGAAATATCTCAAGTCAAAAGGTCGAGTTTATTCTTCTGTTTACAGAGAGCAGGAAGTAACACACACACGCACGCACACACACACGCACACGCACACACACGCACACGCACACACGCACACACGCACACGCACGCACACACACAACTTATTTGACATAGTATTTACAGTTACACAGTTTTCATACTTTAATAACATTGTACTTTGATTCAGTTCATGTTCAAAGTTACACTTTGTGTACAGTGTGTACTTGTTGCAGTAATCGTTCATGAAGGCGACAGCAGCTCTCTGAAGAGAATGTAGATGTTGTGTAATTGTGTTTCCCTGCAGACATTGGCTGACAGCAGCTCTCTGGACTCTGTGTACATGTTGTGTTGTTGTGTTTATCTGAAGTATTTGTTGAGGAAGGCTGACAACAGATCGCTGTACGGAGTTTCAGATCTTGTCGTTTTCAGTTTGAGGAGTCTGTGCACTGACGGAGATCGGAGGATGAGGTTGTGACTGAATCCGACCAGACTGGACACAAACCAGTACAGAGACATGGACTGTAAGAGAATCACAACACATAGAGAACGAGGTGAATTAAAACACAAGTGTTTAACACTAAAGTTAAACCTGTGATCATTACATTAACATTACTTTAACTGTGATAATACTCATTCAATATGTCCTGGTCCAGGTGTGGGTCTCAGCAGGAACGTGTTCGGGGGGGGGCGTGGTCTAATAAACATGTCTGAATGTGTCTGATCTGATGAACGAGCTCAGGAATGTTCAACACACCTGAACATGTTACTGTAGAGAAAAACACTTGAACCTGGTCTCCATCAGAAACCTCTGAACCAACACCAGGACCTGGACCTGGACCAGATCGTGGATCTGCTGTGTACACTGACTGTATTTACTGACAGCACTGACTGTATTTACTGACTGTATCCACTGACTGTTTTTAATTGACTGTATTCACTGACTTTATTTACTGACTGTTTTTAATTGACTGTATTTACTGACTTTATTTACTGACTGTATTCACTGACTTTATTTACTGACTGTATTCACTGACTTTATTCACTGACTGTATTTACTGACTTTATTTACTGACTGTTTTTACTGACTGCATTCACTGACTTTATTCACTGACTGTATTTACTGACTTTATTTACTGACTGTATTCACTGACTTTATTCACTGACTGTATTTACTGACTTTATTTACTGACTGTATTCACTGACTTTATTTACTGACTGTTTTTACTGACTGCATTCACTGACTCACTCACAGACTGTTTTTACCGACTGTTTCACTCACTGAGGGGACTGTTGCAGCTATCGGGATCATCAGGACTGAAAGCGCCCGGATGATGTTTGTCACATACTTCTGAAAACGCGTCGCCTCCAGTCTCTGCAGAGAAAACACCTGAAGAAGAAAAGAGGTGGATCAGGTGACATCATCAGCCTGGGGATATACTCAACAACAAATGTAACAACAGACAAACACTGATATATAACTGATTCTCAACAAGAGGACGTCTTTATTGGAACTCTTGTTTTGAAGACATAAACTGGGGAGAAAAACACAAAAACTGTATCCCAACAAAATCAAAGTAATCCACTTTAAAAGTCTTTGTAACATGTTCATCCTGCCAGTTCTTGAATCTCCAGGTATGTGGACGTGGATAAGACGTGTGCTTTTTGTGAACAAGCTTCAAACACTTAACCATTTATTTTTTTCAATACGGTATAATTATAAAATCTTCGACAGATTTGAACTCTTTGATTTTCACTGCAAACATTTCACACAGTTGTTCCCCTGAAAGAGGTCGTCTCCATGTCAATGTTTAATTTTTACATTTGTGGAGCAGCTCTTATGTATTGTGTTATCTGATTGTTTGTTAGACCTTATGTAAATTGTGCATGGTTAAAGAAAGTTGAAAATAAATTCCACCTGTTGTGCCGCTGATGTACGACGGAGGATTAGGGCCACGTTAAAAAAAATACCAAAAAAATCAAACATTTTGAGATTAAACTCGCAAATTTATGAGAATAATCTAGTAAACTGACGAGTTCGAGACCAGCCTGCGGCAAAATGATGAAAGGAGAACCCTGAAACTCTTTGGTTGTTTTTTCGTAAAGCCCCAGTTTCTTGCAGTACCTTTTTCAGGGTCCTGATATTTTATGACAATGTGAAGATGATGATTTGCCAAAAACATTTGATATAGACTAAAATAACGACTTCATTCTTTTATTCTTTAAAGCCTTTAAGAGTTCTCCTTTCATAATTTTCGCGCAGGCTGGTCTCGAACTCGTTAATTTACTAGATTATTCTCGTAAATTAACAAATTTAACCTTGTAAATTTACAATTTAAATTTCGTAAATTTACTTGTTTAATCTTAAAATGTTAGATTTTTTTTTTTTTTTTACGTGGCCCTAATCCTCCATCGTACTGATGTTCACAGGAGCTGCTATCTCGCAGAGGGGTAGCCACGCCTCCAAATGAATTCAAGTCGAAGACGGCAGGAGGTCTACTCACAATTAAGATATTCAGAACTCTCAAATGTTAATATATTTTCAAACTGATTGTTTTGTCACAATGTCAGACATGTATTCATGATCCAGGATACCGATCTACTAGGTCAGAAGACATCATCAGGAGATAAGACTGACCTCTACGATGAGCAGGTTTGTGAGTCCCAGGCAGACCGGGAGGATCCAGGTGGGTCCGGTAACGTGAGGTCAGAGAACCAGAGAGCGCCCCTGCTGCCAGTCCAGACTGAAGACCTGCACAGACCAGAGTACTGTCAGAGGGACCAAAACCTGATCCGATTGCCTCGCCCAGTCCTGTTCCACGTCCTCGTCTCATTTATAAGCATGGCATACACAAAGAAGGGCCTGAAACTGGCCTAGCAAAACAAAGTTTGTGAGCTTTCTATTGGTAAAAATGTGCCAGACCACAAACCTGGACTGGTCTAGACCATTGGCTTACCGGACTGATCCAGACTTAGGTTCCTGAGGGCCAGAGACAGACTGATCCACAGGGGGATCTGGACCCAGACCAGCAGACTGGCTTTGAAGGGGTGACAGTTGTCCCTGACGTAGAGCTCCGAGACCAGCCGACGCAGATTCTTTTTGAACTGGAACCTGAAACCAAACAGAGACCATGGACAAAAAGAACTGAGGCGTGGTCCTCCTCAGAACCCAGACTCCTCAGAACCTCAGGAGGGACCCTGTACACCTTGTAGGATCTGATCTCACTGATGATCCAGCTGAGTTTGTTTGTGTTTGTTTACCTGCTCTGTTTCTCTGTCCAGCCTCTCTCCCTCGCTCGGACTGAAACTTCATACCGGAGTCTTTTTGCCAGCTCTGAGATCTCCACCTGCAGCGCCTCCACCTGTAAACACCTGGAGGTTACTATGGTTACAAAGAGACAGAAAAAATGTCCTTCATTTCTTTATCTGGGAAAGAGGCGAGCAGCGTACAAAAAACAACAACGGACGCGTATCAGCACTCGGCCTTCACTTCATGTTGCAGCTCTATTCAAGAGGAGGAGAGAGGGAAGGAAGGAGGGAGGAGGAATTTATTGTGAAAATATTCTGTGTTTACATTCTGTCTGAGGTTGGTTCACAGATTTGAGAAAAGATGGTAGACTCAAAACTCCTCCATGTTTAGACTCAAAACAGCAACCTGTCTATCTGACTTCCTGTCTGTCTTCCCATCTATCTGTCTGACTGTCTGTCTGTCTGTCTGAAAACCTCATAGTTTCATGCTCAGTATGACATCACTTTTATGTAAACTTTCTGAATTTGTGAATTTACTTCAAGAGTTTTCATTGAAGCACACCGGTCGTACTAAAGCCAACCACAGAGGCATGCAAATAAAAGTAACTGAACAGTCATTTGCTTTATATGATATCAAATACTGTTAATATAACTAAGTAGCTGAGTGAGTAATGGATGGATGTTTCATGTTTTTTAAATTATATTTGCGGACCAATGGTCGTGCTAGTTTGATGCTAGATTATCCAACCTTGCTCCAGAAACAGGTGAGTGTCACAGTCATGTAACCCGAGTTAAGTATGAGGCT